GCAACACTTGTCGACTTAGTCAGAGTCCAAGTTCTGAGGAAGGGCAGTAGCCCATACTGCTGGCAGGGAATTTGTAAGAGCAGGAGGAGGCCATTGGGAATTGGGATGGGACATGTTCAGGTGACCCAGTGGCAGCTCAGATGCAGAAGAAGAGATGATGGTGGCCTCAGGGTTATCAGGTCATGGACGCCCTCCAAGGACAGGACTTGTAGGTGGCAGTGTGTGGTTCTAGTTATGGGAGCCACTGGAGGCAAGAAACCAGGCTGGTTCTTAGAGAGGCAGATTGGGACCAGAGAATGGGGCGGGGCGGGGGGGGGTCTCAAAAATCAAGTTGGGATTGAGAGGAGAGGCCATGTTGGGAGTGGCCATGGGGAAATGGGAAAGAAACCAGACAATTCGGGGGCCGGAAGGGAAACTTGCCCAGTTTCTTTTTTGCTTCTGTTGAGTTCAATAGATCCTGACAGGATTGTCTGTCTTTTTTGAAAACAACTCTTTTACTTTAAAAACTTGTCTTTTCCCTCCCCTCTGAGCACCAGATCCAGAAGAGGCCTGAGGCCCCAATCTTTTCTAGGGATGCTTTGCCTCTGACTAGAGTGGCCGGACAGCCCAAGCCAAGCTTCCATAGTTGGGGTGGGGCTGTGAGCCACACCTCTGGGCCATGTGAATCACCACGCTTTCTGGACAGTGAGCAAGGCAGGGAGAAGCCTGAGGACAAGATGATGGGAGGCTAGGACAGAGAAGGCAGAGTGGAATAGCTTGGGGAAGAGAGCCTCCCTGGGCAGGTGGCTCCATTTGATTTCCGATTTAAAGGGGAGGCTTAGATGGCCAAGAAGAAAAAGGCTAATAAGAAAAATATTAAACTGCAGTGTGTGTGTCCCCAGGGACTTCCTGTTGCCATGACTGACCTCCCGGAGAGCGCCATTCGTTCCCGAGCATGGCAGCTTTATAGGCACTTGTAGGCCTGCAAAGAACACCAATTTGCTGCTGCAGTTTGTTTTGATAACTGAAACTTTCAATAAATCTATATTAAAATCAAAGGGAAAATTAACTAGGCCCCAGTGAGGGGCACGGAGATAAGGGAGCACATTACCACCCTGGCCTCAGCCACCCCACATCCATCTCTTAGTTCAGATTCAGGTCACCAGGGAGATGAATGGCTCAGGCTCATGGGGAACAGCCCTGGGGAAAGCAGGGCAGAGAAGGCATGGCCAGGTCTGGCTCCCACTGCTCCTGCAGTGGAGACCGTGGGGGCAGGGTGTGGGGGGTGACAAGGGGGGGGTGGTGGTGGTCATGGTGGGAAGAGGAGTTGGACAGAGGCATGGGGGAGGGGTGAGAATAATAGTAATAACCGCCAATATTTACTGAACTCTTTATTCTGGATGCTATACTAAGCATGTTTGTATTTAATTCTAATAAGTAGATACTAGTATTATCTCCACTCCAGAGAGGAAGAAATGGAGCCTCAGAAAGGTGTGTGGCTTCCCTAAGGTCACAGATGGAGTCAGGACCCCAACCTGAACAGGCTGTCTCTGAGCTCACACTCCTCCTGAGTGCACGATGCTGTCTTACATAGCTTACAGGGACTGTGAACGGCAGAAGCAATTTTCCCAGTTCTTAGATAAAATGGTTTTGACCCAGTCTGGGTTCTCTCAGCTGTGCCACGTTTGGGGGCCGTCATGCCTGCACTGTCCTTGGGTCCTGGATTCTCTGCCCTTCCACTGCTGGTTAAGGTCCCAGCTTTGCTGGCCATCTTGCTGTTTTCCCTTGTGGTTTCAGAGGGCAGCAGAACCAACGTGGCCCTCTCTTTAATTCCTGCTGTGTTCACTTTAGCTCAGTCACTTAATCCATCAGCCAGGAAGCTGCCCGAGGTTTATCTGTGTCTGTGTACTGGATTCAGTTCATCTGCCTCCAAAGATTCACTTGCCCCAGCTGTACCCTCACCCCGGGCCTTGGCCACTTGTTTTTTGGACAGCCCAGCTGCCATTACTGTCATCTCATTTAGTAACACATCTGGTTGTTTTAGCCTCCTCAGGAGAGTTTTGACAGAGCCTCCAGTATGCCCACTGTGGTGGGATTGCAATGGGCCTAATTTGACCAAACCAGGGGCTATGACTCCTCTTATCATTTCTAGTCTCAGATGAACCACTGTGCTTTAGGGTGTGGGATCTGGCACCCCCTGTGGCTACTGGAGTGGTGGGGTAATACAACCTCCTTTTCCCCTTATAAAGTGATGGTTCTATATGGCTTCAATGACTAGTTGTGTTTGAAGCTCCAGGCAACTTTATAATACACAACCTTATATTTTCTTCCTTTTCTTCTTTGCCTCACTTCTCTTTGCCTCCTCAACTCTTGCTGCCCTGGGATTACATTTCCCAATGAAATTTTACCACATAAGCTTTACCTCAGGCTCTGTTTTCTAGGAAATGAGAAAACAGGGAATCACCACAGAGCCAAAGGCTTGAGGGAGCCAAATGCTGGGTTAGGCAGCAGTGTGAGGCACCAAGAATATACTGATCTCTTAAACTGTTCTATTATTTGAATACCTTTGGCCTGGTCTTTGTCCAAAAAGAACTTATATATAATACAGTCCGGTGAGGTCCTGGAAGCTATAGGGGTGAGCTCTAGAGCACCGAGGAGGAAAGAGCACATTCTGGGGAAGTTAAGGGCACCATGGAAGGCTCCATGGAGGATATTGGTGCTAGGCCTTAAAGGAAGCCTCCAATCCAGACAGTGTAGGTTGACTTCATTCTTACAGCCAAGAAGGTTGGTTGTGCCCTATTCTTAGGCCAGACTCAGGACATATGAAAGCCAGGGACAGGAGAGACCATCTCAGAGCCTCTCATTTGTCTAATTTTTTTTTTTAAGATTTTATTTATCTATTTGACAGAGAGAGACACAGCGAGAGAGGGAACACAAGCAGGAGGAGTGGGAGAGGGAGAAGCAGGCTTCCCGCAGAGCAGGGAGCCCGATGCGGGGCTCGATCCCAGGACCCGGGGATCATGACCTGAGCCGAAGGCAGACGCTTAACGACTGAGCCACCCAGGCACCCCTCATTTGTCTAATTTAATTTATCTATTTACTTATTTGTTTATTGTCTGTTCTGCATCTACCTTCCCCTCCGCAATATAGTCTTCTCAAGGATACAGGTTTTGTGTGCCTTATTCACCAATGAATCTTAGCATCAAAAACAGTTGCCAACACCTAGCAGAGGCACTATAAATGTATGTTGACTGACTAATCAACTGGGATTAATGTCTAGATGACATTAACGGGAGGAGGAATACCCAATTCCAGCCCCAAGAATCAGATAGGAAGATGTGCCTCCACTTTACTGACTTTGGGTTAAGTGACATCTGTCCCTGCTGATGTTTATTTCCTCATTTGTCCACAAAAGATTTACCAGATTCCTGCTTTATTTGTGGAACTGTGCTGGGTATTACTGATACACCATGAACAATACAGAAATAATGCTTACCTTAAATGAATTTACAGCCCTGGGGGAGAGACAACAAGGAAATTGACAATTATAAAACAATGCAATAAATTCTGTAGGTGCAGAGTAGAATCACCTAGTCCATTATGCGGGATTAAGGAAGACATTCCCTAATATGGGTATTACCAGGCATTCCCAGCTCAGGCAGGAACCAGTATGTTAAGGTCAGATCTCACAGAAATGGTGGGCCCAGAAATGACATCACTTTCTTTGTGAAAATATGCAAATGGCAGACAGAGGGCTTGGTGACCAAAGCTGGGCCCAGAAGATGGTTCTTGGCTCACTGGGAAGCTGTCAAAGCCATCACTGATTTGGCGAAGGCCAGGGTTTTCCACCTCAGAACGTGTTACCCATGACTTCCCAAAAAGCCATAAACCAGATGAAGAAACACATCTCTGGCTTTAGCCAGACTTCTCCCCAAATGACAGAACAGACTGTCTCTCGTAGCTCCCTATAGTTGAGGCCAGAATCCTTTCAACTCTGACGTTCCCTCTGGAGCCAACCCAAACAAGTCAGTTCCCTCTTCAGTAGGAAGGCCCCTCAGAAATCTAAGAATTTTCTTCTTAGCCTAAAATCTGCCTCCTTTCAGCTCTCCCCAGGCCCACCTCCGAGAGTGGATGACAATAATGACTTGTTGAACAAATCATGAGGAGGAGTTATCTAAATATAACACGTCATGTTATGAGCCTATACTCACCTCGTGAGTATATTGGGAGGTGGGAAAACGGAAGTGGGGGACCTGAGTCGCTCTAGGCCTTAGAAAGTTTTCGTTATTTAAAATATTCCTTTCCCAGGTCGGAAGGGAGCTCCCCCTTCACTTTCTTCTGAGTACGTGCCACCTCAAAACTACAAGTCCCATAAGGCCAGCCGCAGGGAGTCACCATCTTGACACACCTTAACGCGCATGTCGGCGGGAGAGCGAGCGTTTGGGGAGAAGAAGCCCCGCCCCCTGAAGCCCATTGGTCGGAGGAGCAAGCGGCGGGCTCAGCGGTTGGCCACCGAGCCCGCCCGTCAGTCGCGTCGGCCGGGGTCAGAGTGCGCGGAGGTGAGTCGGTGTGTTGTGGACTCGTGGTGCTGGCTGCCGCTGTTGAGGCGGCCGGGAACGGGCGGTGGGGAGCGGGCGGAGCTGGCCTTGCCTCTGCCTGGCCGGCGCCGCAGTCGGCGCGGGCCGCGCCCGCCGCCGTAAACTGCCCTGAGCGCCTGCTGAGGCCGAGGGAGACGTCGGGGCCTGCACCTGGAGGGAGCCTGCCGCGCTGGCCCCGAGGAGGGGGCGTTGCCATGGCGACAGCCTCTCCCGCCGCTGACGGGGGGCGGGGGCGGCCCTGGGAAGGAGGGCTGGTCTCCTGGCCCCCTGCCCCTCCCCTTACTCTCCCCTGGACTTGGATGGGCCCGAGTTGGGGGCAACACCCTGGGGTGGGTGATGCGGAGAGGCCCCCCAGATTGGGCCCTGGTTAATGCATGCGGGGTGAGGGTCGCCGCGCGCTGTTTGTGCAGTCTGGGGTGCTAGCCCATGTGCTCACCCTGGATGCATGATCTACTGAGTAACGTTCTGGCCAAGAGGGAGCGGGGCAGGGCTTTGCCAGACCGACTGGGTGGGGTGATTAAGCGTGCTGACTTTTTACTTGGGATTATACTAGGTAAGAGGAAGAGAGGTTTGGCCACAGTGGATAGAAACTCAGCAAAGAGATAGTAGATAGAATAACCCCATTCTTCCCTCTCCAGCACACACACGAGGTTAGCACTTTAACTCTTTGTAACTCTGTAGCAGTGGTAGTAGTGATGGTGGAAGGAGTGAATAACGGGCCTAACCTAGCTAGCTTTCCCCTGTTTGCTTTTCCTGCAAATGTTCCAGCAACAGGTGTTCTCTTAAAACAAAAAAGCATGAACTTGGATTGAGGTGTGACTGCGAGTTTTGCATAATGTAACTTCTGGTTGACTTGGAAGATGCTGCATGTGGCTCCTTCCTGGGGGTTTGAATTCTAACCTTAGGGTTGGATTTTGCAAACTGATAATGCCCATCGTTGTCTCTGCTATAGGTCTCTGGCCACCTCTATGGGATTAGCTCTTATCAGACATTTTATCATTCTCCGAGCTGAAGGGCAAAAAACCACGAATCCTATTGGCTGAAGACTGTACACTATTTGAACTATAGTAGGTTGTGATTGGCTGAATGATTTTTGACTGTAGAGTTTCTACCAGAAATTGGCTTCATCAAATTCTGCTTTATTCTGACTTTATCATACATGGCATGCCTTGTTTTAGTGGGTTCGTTCCTGGAGCTTAAGTATATTATACCTGAATCCCCCACCATTTAAAAGCCAATTTATAAACAGGGACTTGGAGTGTGACTCCACTAATGTGTGTGTCTGTGATCTTGGTTAGAAACCCACTTGGCTGCCTTTCGTCAGAGAGGTAGGGTGTGGGGGAAGGGAGCTGCCGGGAAGTGATTGATAAGGTTTCCTTTATGGATTCCGTGGTGCTTCACTGGAGCTCAGAGCACTTTGGCAACTTAAGCACTCCAAATTAAAAGCTCATTAACAATTCCTGCCCAAAGATCCTGTAAATAATCAGCTAGCTAGGTCCTAGAGCTTGGCTGAGAGCTCTCCTTCTAACTTGAAATTTCCAAATAAAAGTGCCTTTATTCCCTTTCATTTTGGGAAAAGTGTTTTCTTGGTGGTGGGGTAAGTCTGTGAGTGGTCTTTCCCAGGGGCTCTGAGTAGCATAAAGTCTTAAATGTGCAGAGTGGTAGACAGGAATAGATTGGTTCCAAACCTAAATGTTTCTCTGTGCAAAGGGCATTGCTAGCTTACAAGAGCACCTCTGCAACTTCTAGTCTTTTGGAAAATCTGAATTAGGTGATAAATATGATAGGTCTCCATTAATGATTTGACTTAGGGTTTGGTTACACTTTGACTTTCTTAGGACTTGAGATATACCTGGAAGTATACTGCAAGTGTTTAATGGTCTATTTGGCCATTTGCAGTATGGCCTGTGGGTTTGTGGCAACCAGCCCCTCCAATCCTGGTCTCAGTTCCTGAGTTCTGAATATTGTCAGCCGTACCAGTGTCTCCTCCTTGACTAAACTAGGTTTCTGGTGTTATCCCGAGAGATACCATTTCGTGGCCATCTTTCTTAGTCCAAGCTCAGATATTATAAATGTTTAGTGTTTTTAGGAGATGACCTCCTTAGGAAGAAAAGTATGTGACTAGAGAACATGAAATCCATCATTCCAAAAATAAATAGTACTAGTAGCTTCTGAAAGCTTTGTTCAGGCATTGTTCTTCCACATAGATAACTGTTATCCCAAAGTAGTTTGAGTTTAGGAGTTGAGGTTTGGTGTGGTCCTTAAATTGTTTCAAATAGCAGCAGTCCCCTGGGGATTTGATCCTTTATACTGAAATAGACTTGTTGCAGAGATGTGTATTTATCCACAGCATTGGGGCTTTCCAGCTCTCACAGAACCTTCAGCATCCCCAGCTGGCAGTCTTGGCATCTTCGAAGTAAGGAGAGGTGAGAATGTTGTTGCATGGTCAAGTTTGGCTCGACTTCTTTCTTATGAATATTTGGGTTTGGAGGGTGAGGGGGTGGTGGTTGGTGCAGATTGTATTTTTCTGTAGCTTTTTCTGATTAGACACCATGTGCTCAAAGACTACTGAATGGCGAGAATTAGAGGTGGGGTATCTACTCAAGTTCTGTCATGATTTCTCTGTGGGCATTGCATGAGCACCTACTTTAGGTTCAGGAAGGTTGAATAGAGCTGGGGTAGCCCTTCATCCTGAGAAATACACAGCTTAAGATAATAGGAAGGAACACATTGGTTTGGCTTTTGGTAATGCATTTGACCAAGGCCTTTGGGATCTTGGTTTGATTTGGGTTGGGAATCACCATTGGGTGGATGGTGAATCCCAGCCTGTCTCCATTTTACAAGATCAGGGCTGCCTGAAAAGGAAGACTCTGATGATTAATATCCAGGATCTCAGAGGCTGTTTAGTAACAAAGGGCCAGATACTTTGCTAGGACTGGAATTGTAGTGGTGAACAAGACAGATGCTGTCTCTGATGCCACAGGGCTTAAAAATTCAGGGGAGAGAGAGGTGGTAAAGAAGCAATTCTGATACACACTGGGAGTGCTATAAGGTAAGTTTAGATGTTTGGGGAGTACTCAGAAGGGTCTGCAACCCAGACTTGTAGGCTCCTCATCTAGAATTAAATGAAAACATGAGGGACCAAGTGTGAATGTCAGAGTTTTGTTGAGTTTGAGAAACTGAAGTAATGTGTTAAAACATAGTGTACTCAGTGGGCAGGGGATTGGAGAATAAGGTGAGAAACGAAGCAGGAAAAGTAAGCAGAGGCCAAGGCCTTATAAACTCTTAGGATTAGGTTAGACTAGGTCTTTTTTCTGTAAAGGACCAGATAGTAACTATTTAGGCTTTGTGGGTCTCTCTCTCAGCTATTCAACTCCATTCAGCTCTGCTGTTAACGGCATGAAAGCAGCCATAGTATGAAAGTGAATGAGCATGGCTATGTTCTAGTAAAACTTTATAAAAACCAGTGGCAGCTGGATTTGGCCTGTGGAACATTGTTGCCAACACCTGGACCAGACTATCATAAGAGCAGTAAGAAGCCATTAAAGGTTTTAAGCTGTGGACTGATACTTAGATTTGTGTTTTAGAACGTTTGTTTTGATTTCATTGTTAAGAATGGACTGAAGGGGACAATACTGGAGCCAGAGACCAATTAAGAAGCCTGTGACATTTGCATGGGTAGCATTTTATATTTAACCCTTTGAGGCAGTATTTTGACCCTAAAAAATTGAGCATAACTGAATTTTTGCATAATGTATATACTGGTTATGTTTATTAATATCCTGGCCATCGACTAGAGCTTAAAGCATGTCTACCAAAGAATTTGTTGGTAATACCAGCTCCTATGTTACAGACTAGAAAAGATGTAGGGGCGCCTGGGTGGCTCAGTTGGTTAAGCCACTGCCTTCGGCTCAGGTCATGATCCCGGAGTCCCGGATCGAGTCCCACATCGGGCTCGCTGCTCAGCAGGGAGTCTGCTTCTCCCTCTGACCCTCCTCCCTCTCATGCTGTCTCTCATTCTCTCTCTCTCAAATGAATAAATAAAATCTTTAAAAAATATATATATATAATTTAAAAAAAAAAGAAACGATGTAGGAAGGGAAAGTAGGTGTAGAATGAATGAAAAGTTTTGGGGAACTCTTCTAATCAAAGAAGTAGAGAATAAATGGAGCCCTGGTAGGGATGTTGGTCTTAGGGCTCATAGCTTAATGTCAATTACTTTAAACTTTTTGAACTATACAAACAAAGGAGGACCCAGTTTCCTAAGTTTTCCAGGGAATTGTCCTCATTCTGTTACATGTCCTACTCAGTCAAACTTTCCTTGCTTGTAGCAACCTGATGACCTTTTTTCTGGTTTGGGGACTGTCTCCTGGTTCAGGTATGATGGTATATGCCAGGCACAGGAGCCAAAGTGTTGAGTGTCCGATAAATTGTCTTCGTCCTCCTGCAAGCCTACTTGCCTTGCTGGAGGGAAGCCTGTAGGTTTCTGATAACCTACATTATGGTGTTTATGTAACCTCGGGCAAGTGACTTACCTCTCTGAGCTTTACTTTCCCATCTGTAAAATGCAGATAATGGGACTTAAAGAGGGTTGATTAATGGATTTAATGAGATAATGTATATAAAGCTCTTAGCGCAGTGTTTTAATAACTTTTGTTTACTAATAGTATTTTACACAGTTAATATTTTTTTTTTAAAAAGCAGCCCACAATTGGGTGAGTTGGCCTTTGGATTAGTATGTTTTGGGTCCTCACAGTTGTCATTATGGCCATATGATAGGAACATAACCACTGGTGGTGAGAGCCAGTAGACAGAAGGAAGTTATAACTAACGGAAGGGGCCACCACTCTTCGTAATGGAAAATTTTCAGACATCAGGAGTCCAGAAAATCAGAACTTTCTTCAGGGTAGACCTTAGCCCCAATACCATCAGTGAGGTGAATTGAGTGAGCAGCTACCCGAAAGAAATTCACCAAAGTGTGACCAGTCATTTCTCCCAGTTGGTCAGGGTCATTTATTAGTGTTGCCACCCTTGTGGCCCTACATCTTCGTAAAGTCCTCTTGAATGTTTTTTTATTACTTTTCACCACCACTCTGGGAATGAGTCAGGTGGTCAGTATTGCTGTCCCTGTTTACCCCTGTGAGGAAACTGAGGCCCACGAAGGTTAAGTGTGTTACCTGAGGTCGTGCTGTGAGGTACTGTCATAGCTAGTGCAGATTTGCCTCCAGATGAAATTGTGTTAGTTTATTGCTGTGATTTCTCTTCCTTTGAGTGAGAGATGTGTAGTCATTGCAGAACTGCAGACTGATGCATGCTTTGTCCAAATGTGCTAGGAGTGATTTGGGTCCCACTTTATCCACTTGGTCCTGTTGGGTTTTAATTGATGACTGCTTGGACCAGGGAAGCAGATTCCCTTTGGGTCATTGTTTTTAGCCCCTCCTCCTTTGGGGACATTCTTGGGGGAGCCTTGGGTTACAAGAGATTGCTTTGATATGTTCAGAATTGTGCCTTGTGCCCCACAGCTACAGGTAAAATCAAAAGGCGGATAATTTATGGGAGTGTCAGAGCTGGCCGCTGGCACCTCAGGAGGCCATTAGTATGCCTGTTCAGACCCTCTGTGTCCTTGCAATTGATTCCTCTTTGCATGAGCTTGATTTGGGAAGCTGTAGATCTGTGGGTAGTGATTGGATGTGACAGTCCAAACACTGGTCCCTAAATTAATCCTTTTAATAGTATTCCAGCACCAAGGCAATGTGGTATCTCTCTCTGTCTTTGACTGGGGAGGACAGAATGGGGTGGGGCTAGGAAGGAGAGAGGAAAAAAAAGAAGCTTTGCTTGGTGCTTAGGGTCTGTTCTGTTCTAACATGTTCTGATTCCAGAGCAGTTGACATCAGGACTTCGGGCATATTCATTCAGCAAACATTGATTCACACTAACTTTGTACCCGGCCCTGTGCTGGGTGCTGGGAATACAGAAATGAATAAAATGTGATCCTTGCCCTTAAGGATCTATGTGAATCTCAGTGTTTCTCAGAGTTTTGAAACTCATGCGCTATTTAGGTGAAAAAATTAAACTGATGCTTTTCTTTAATGCTACTTGAAATTTTAAAATGCATTAAAGGGTCTGACAAAAAACAAGTCCAAAGAAATTATGCCTTTTTTACATGCACACGCACACATACTTATACCTGCTGTCTTACAGCCTTCTCACCTAAGGCTCTGAAAATTACAGTAGGAGAAATAGATTAAAATTTTACAATATAGTGAGACAAAAAGTATATGTACAATATAGTGAGACAAAAAGTTATGAAATAGGAATAGGGTGTGTTACTGGATCACACTTAAGCAATTAACTTTCTGATGGAGTATCAGAGAAAGCTACTAAAAGGGAATTTTGAGCTGCATTTTGAGGAAGGAGCTGGTGAAAATGGAAGTAACATTCCAAAGCAGGGGGGGTAGCATTTGCCAAGGCACAGATTTGTAAAAGGAAACATCACATTTGGGGACCTGAGCAAGGGCTCGTCGTCAGCCTGCCTCCTGCCAGTTTCTCTGCTCTTCTGGAATTGTTTGAGAAGAGGCTTTGAGTTTCTTGTGCTGCAGTTGTTTTCGTCCAAGGCACCCCATCCTTCTTCTGCTTTTTGTACGCAGGGCTGCAATTTGTTTTTCTTGTTAAAATGTGATAAATGTATTATGAGAACAAATTTGGATGATTTGGACAGACTTGATCATTGCTTATGGTTGGGTTACTTTTTAAAGTCACCACCTTACCTCAAAGGAAAAACTGAAGTTGATATGTATTTTTAGCGGACTCAATCAAGTGGGGAATGTGGGCCCTCAAACATGGGAGAGGAGAACAGGGCCCCGAAGAACTGAGGACGTGTGAGGCTTAGTTTTCTCATGTGTAAAATGGGATTATTGTTCCCCATTTTGCTTGAGAGTTAGGAGGATAAAATATGTGGATCACTAATACAGTACCTGGCTTATAGTTGTGTTTCCCTCTCCTCTTTCTCATGCATTAACAACAGTAGCTCCCTTCTATTGAGTGCTTAAACTGTACAAAGTGCTTTGTATACATTGTGTGGTTGACCTGAACCCCAAAGAGATAGGTATTATTATTATAGTAGTTATTGTTAAGAAAATGTGGTAGAAGGGCTGGCTCAGTCAGTAGAGTATGCAACTCTGAATCTTGCGGTCATGAGTTCAAGCCCCATGTTGGGTGTGGAGCCTACTTAAAAAAAAAAAAAAAAGGATATGTGATAGAGTCAGGATTTGAACCTAGACTTGTCTGATTCTAGTGTTTAAACATCTGGGCTGTGTTTCTGTACCAGTTCCATCTTGGAAGCAGGGGAATGGCAGGTTCTTGATATCTCTCCTCTGGGGTCAGATGCTGTCTACAAGTGTGAAAGGTACTTGAAGGGATAAGAGTACCATACTCTGTCCCTCCTTCATTTCTATCCTATTTATGGTGTATTAGAAACAAACCTTTGCCCCCTCTCACGTGCAATGGGTGTCACAGCTGACTTGTAGGACTTTGCAAAGAGATGTCTCCCAGCTTTGGCTCCTCGAAGGAATTTGCCCAAACTACTGCATGTAGTGGTAAGTTAGCAAACAGCAGGCCAATCACAGTCGCTTCTTTTTAGGTGCTGCCTTGAGCTGCTGAGACGGCTAATTGAAGAGGAGAGTAAGCCTCCTGTGGCCTGTAATGTTGTCATCAGAATGTGGTGTTCCTGAAGGTCTTAAGTGACTGTAGCTCTCTTGGTAATTTAGGGTTAGCAGCTGCTTCTAATATGGAGAATGCTCTCCCTTGCCCCACCTTGGAGCAGAAGCAACTGTAGGTAGCTACAGGCCGAGGGAGTGACAGGTTGTAGGGAAGAGGAGAGTGTTTTGTTGAGGTGAGGACCCAGCTTTAGAGTTCCTGCTTCCATTCTACTTTGGGGCCATCAGGAAGTTGTGTAGAGGTTCCAGGGCATGTCAAGCTTTGTTCTGCCTCACCCTCTAGCTTTCAGTAGACTAGGCCAAACCCTCAGGCCCCCCGGCCTCCACTATGAGACTACAGAGAAGCTTGGGAGGTGAGCAGTGAGGCCTGCTCCTTGTGTTGGGGCAGTGGTCTGAGACCCTGGTGTGGGAGTCAGGAGCCCTGGGTTCTGTTGTTACTATGCTATGTGAGTCTTAGGCAGTCCTTTTCTCTTCCTGGGGCTCATTTTCCCTGGCTGGCTGTACTGTGTCTCCCCTTAGATTTTCTTTCACCTTTGACAATCTGTGATTTTCACAGAAAGTGCTCTGGCAGCAAGGTGCATTCATTAGCTTGAAGATTATGACTTTTGAAGGCATGCAGTTTATTTAGATTTTTCCCAGGCTATTTTTAGCTGCCTAATACAGAGCCTGTGACTGAGTGGTTCCAGACAGGTATTACTCTGCTCTCTGTTGATGCCTCTGTGACTCAGGTACCTGAGCCCTTGTAATACTGTCAGTCAGATTGGGACAGGGACTTGCCCTGGGACTGGGACCTGAGGAAGCTGCAGCTCTCTCAGGTGCTTCTAGTTGGCTAGACTCAGAGCCTGCCTCTAGTGCCTTACAGTTTCTCTGGAATGTGCTCCTGCCTCCCAGTCTGGTTTTTAATGGAATGGTTAGAATCCAGGGATGGTACCAGCCTAAACCCTCCCCAGGGATTCCAAGTACAGTTGACCCTTGAGCAACATGGGTTTGAACTGCACAGATCAACTTGTCGATTTTTTTCAGTAAATACAGTATAGTACAATAAATACTTTTATGATTTTCTTGACGTTTTCTTTTCTCTACCTTTATTGTAGGAATACAGTATACAATACATATATAAGATATGTATTAATTGACTATGTTATTGGTAAGGCTTCCAGTCAACAGTACTATTAATAGTTGTTTTTGGAGAGTCAAAAGTTATAGGCGGATTTTCCACTTTGTTGGGGGGGCGGAGTCGGTGCCCCTAAGCTCTGTGTTGTTCAAGGGTCAACTGTATTTGCAGCTGGGGAGATGGAGTGGGAGTAGACCCCATATTTCATGATGGCCCTCTCCTTTCCTATCCCCCACGTTCCTGTGGCCTGTGGATGTGGATGTTAAAGGATGGCCCCCTCCCTTTTCTCTCTCTCCCCACCTCAGTAATGGAAGGCTATAAAATGTCTATTTACCCAAGACACCAGAATGACTCCTCTGTGGTTCCACTAATCTGGTGATTTGGTGCTTCTCTGGTCTCTCAGGTAAATACAGATTGAGGCTTTTTATAAAGGCATATTTCCCTCATTAAATGTGTGTTTTGGCACATGCGTTATTTACCTGACCGGTGGTAATGGCTGCAGAGGACCGTTGGTGTCTGTTGTGTAAATACTCTGCACAGAGACCATCCTCCGGGGGCTGTGGCGCAGGCCTGTTTCTCCAAATGGGGCTGGCCCCATGGCAGTCCCTATTTACCACTCCCCTGTCTCCAGTGGGGGCTGGACCTTTCATTTTGAGGAGGGAATCATTTATTTTCCTCTTTGCCATAGGCTACTTACTACCTTTAATTGCCAGGAGAAGAAAAAGGGTGCCTGAGAATAAATGTGTATAAGTCTTGGTCTCTGATGAAACACATTATGCAGAAGTACATGGAATCATAAACTGTTCCTTTTGAGTTCTGCCCCTGGACTAGATACTCAAAATCCCAATTGATGATACCAGTTATAGACTTAGAGTCTACAAACTTGAGACTCAAGTATAAAGCAGCATTAGGAAAGGGGAATTCCCAAGAGGCCAGAGGGTACAAGGCAGGTGGGATGCCTCTGCAGGGAGTGCAGGGCTCTTTCCTGAGAAGGCTCTAATGGTGGCAGGAGTGCTCCATGAGCAGGCATTGAGTGGGGGCTCTTGTCATGGAGACTTGATGCTTTAAGGGCTGGCTTTGCCTCTTAAGGTAGGCTGTAGGCTATATGCACAGGCTACCTTCGGTGGGCGGTATGGCGAGATTGAGCCCTCACATACCATCTCTTCTCTCTCTCTCCTCCCCCGCCTTTTTTAAACCACATTGCAGCATATAGATTAAAAAATAATTTTTTTTAAGATTTTATTTATTTATTTGACAGAGAGAGAGACAGCGAAAGAAGGAACACAAGCAGCGGGAGTGGGAGAGGGAGAAGCAGGCTTCCCACTGAGCCGGGAGCCCGACGCGGGGCTCCATCCCAGGACCCCAGGATCATGACCTGAGCCGAAGGCCGACGCTTAACGACTGAGCCACCCAGGCGCCCCTAAAAAAATAATTTTTAAAAGTTTGGAATAGGCCAAATTTACATATAAGTTGGAATTAATAGTACAAAGAATTTTTTGTGGAACTATTTGAGAGCTAATGCTTACCTAGTGTCCCATCACCCTGAATACTTTGGGCATATTTCCTACATGGAAGGACATTTTTATACCTAACCATAGTACAGCCAGCAAAACCAGGAAATTAATATTGGTACCTTACCTCCTTCTCATTCTGAAACCCCATTCAAGTTGGCCTATTGTCCCAGTAATGTTTTTTTGTAGCAAAATGATCTAGTTCAGAATGTGCATTGCATTTCGTTATCAAGTCCCTTTGATCTCCTTTAGATTTTGCTCAGTAAAAGTTCCTTGACATTCATGACCTTGATACTTTTGAAGATTACAGGCTGGTTATTATGTAGGCTCTCCCTCAATTAGGGTTTGTTGGATATTTTCTCATGATTAGAGTTAGATTATGCATCTTTGACAGGAATATCACAGAAATGATGCTTTCTTCTCATTGCATCCCATCATGTGGTACATGATTTTGATTTATCCCATTGTGTTCATTTTGATCACTTGATTAAGGTGATGTCTGCCAGGCTTCTCCATTGTATACTTGCTTCCTGTTAACTATTAATAAGCATTCTGTGGGGAGATTGAAACTACGTGAACATCCCTTACCAAACTTTAATTTATTAATTAGTTAATTTGTGTATTTTAATTTCATGGTTTCCTTTTTTATTCAATGCAATATAATCTATTAATATCATTATTTATTGCCAGTGGGAGCCCCTTCAAATTGGCTTCTGCATCCTTTTGATTAATTCCCATCATTCTTTGAGCATTTCCTTGCTTTCTGGCCCCTAAACAAGATGTTCTAGACTCATCTTGTACTTTCTCTGCCATAGTTGTGGAATCAACCATTTCTTCAAAGAGCTCTGGTTCTTCCACTGAAGACTGTTATTTAGAAGGCAACTGGGTGTTAGGTGTGCTCATTGCTGCTAGAGTGTTGCTGCTCCTTGGCCCTTCAATAGACAGAGCTAGAAAATAGATTGTGTGTGTGTGTGTGTGTGTCCCCATACTCATGTCTAGCTTATTTTTATATATTATATATCAGAAACCATGAGTTCACATTGTTTCCTCCAATTTCAATTTGACACCATGGATTTTTTTTCCCTCTTTCCATATTTTAATTCCATCCTGTAACAATGAGAAACCTGGTTCTCATTACCCTTAATATACGCCCTTCTTTGATCAATCCCTCTGTATGTAACCAATCTCCCATTTGTTACCATTGCTCCTTCCCCCTCTTGAGTGCCTCTTTTACCCTGCCCATGACTCCCCACATCAGGCTTGCTCCCCGCCTCCCCATGCCCTCCACACCCCACATGGGTTCTGACATGCTACGTCACACCTTCTTGCCTCTGTACAGATGCTTTCCTTACTGTGCTTGGGCTCTGATACCCTCCACCCCCACCCTCAGACTCTTCTGCTCCCCGCCACTTCAACTTGTAGATACTACTTTCCTCTGCCACAACTAATGACTAAAGCCATAAGATTAAATTTTTTAGGAAGGGAAGAGGAAGAGCTGCCCTCTGTTTCTTGACTTGAGTTGAACTTGGTTTTTAGAAGTAAAGGAAGTATGGAATCCAGTGATTACTGACATGTGGAAGACTCCTACTATTGTCTATTCTCAAGACTTCCTGCAAAAGAAGCTTTTTGATGTGGGTGAAATCAGTTGGGAAAGCAAGGCCTGCAGGCAAGAGGGCTTTAGGTCATCAGTGTGTCATTCATGGAAGGGGATAGCACACATATAGTATGCTACATGGGAGGCCTAGAGCATTCTGGGCATGCAGGAGATTTGGGTGTTACTTCTGAGGTTGCCTTATGCATGCATTAATTGGATATATAGGCTCCAAGTATGGGGGTCCAGGCTTGGCCAGGTGGGCATAGCTCAAAAAAATAGTAGTAGTAATAATAGTAAGAGATATTGAGCCCCTATATGCCAGACACTGCTCATAGTGTTTTACATGTGTCCTCTCATTTCATTCTCACTTACGGAATAAGAGCTATTATTGTTGTCATTTTACAGGTGAGGGATGGAAGAACAGAGCTTGCCCAAGGTGCCATGGCAAATAAGTGGCTCAGCCAGGATGCAAACCTGGAAGGCCTCCTTAATCATGATGCTAAATTGCCGGTAGTATTTGGCAGATGGGGTCTGGTTGACTATATATATTATATACACTCTCTATGAATATTGACAAACATTAGGACTCTCAAAAGTCCTTATCCCAGCCTGACTTCAAGGAGTTAGAGGAGAGTTCTAAGGCCCTGAGAGATTGTGGATCCAAACTATAATGCATAATCTGAACATACTGGTGTCTCCCGTCTCAGCAAGGCTTCCAGTACTGTTCAAGGCAGGGGTGGTGATGTGAAGTTATTTTGGATTCTGGTGTTCGAAGGGATGTTGGCCCCTTTGCCTTTCCAAGGGATTCCATAGTGAAATCCAAGCCAGCCTTTGTCTATCCTGAGCTGAGGAGTTTGGGCTGCGTTTTTGGAAATGCTGTAAAGCCATGGTGAAAGCAAGCACTGTGCTCTGTAGGATCCATGAAGAACTTAAAATACTTTTTGGTCTTAGCACCTCTGAATCCCCATGGAATCTCACTATGGGGTTGGGGAAATTGAGGACCCACATGTGTCCTAGTAAATATGCAGGCAAGTTATTGTAGGTCATTCAGTGAGTCAGGGAAGAGGCAGAAGGAAAAGTGATACTTGATTGTACATGTCCATTCAGGTAGTAGTCACCTCATTGCCTCTGAGTGTGCTCTGGACTTCACAGGCTGCTACCCCCCTCAGCCCTGCAGGAAGGAGCCAGTGCCCATTTGCAGCCTTTCATAGGCAAGTTTTTGGCTCTATTAGAACGGGGCTTCAGAAGGCATAAACTATGGCTATATCTGCATTGAGCAGTGAGATTTCTCCTTTGACTTTGAGGATTAAAGTTGAGGGAATTTGAATATTGGGTGTAAGAGGGGTAAAAACAAACTTTCTTTGTTCCTTTTTTTTTTTTTAAAGGAGGCCTGGGTTATTTGTGAGTAAAACTTAGGCTTTGATTTTTATATTTAGTTAACCCTCTAAGGAGCAGACATTCTACAAATTTAAAGGGAAAACTTGAAAAGTGATTTGGATTTTTTTTTGCACATGTTCACTCAGAAAACTTTACTAGACTTTTTTTTTCCTTTTTTTTTTTTTTTTTTTAAGCAATGCTCCCATTACTGCCACATCTGGGTTTTCTCTTTTTCTTCCCTATTTAAAAAAAGTCCTGCAGTCCTTCAGGGCCTCTAGTAGAGAGTGAGCCTAAAGGCAGCGAACGGGAAGGCCTGAGGCTGTTACCAGCTGTGCTCTCTGGGCGTCCTTCATTCCCCCAGGGTGCCACTTACTGGCGCGGGGGCTGGGGAATCACTGGCCCTGCAGGAGCAAGCTCCCCTGTGATTGGCTGTGTTCCATTTCACCTTGGGAGATGGGAGGGAGGGTATGTGGAGGTGTGCGATACCGACTGGAAAGCCAGGGGCAAATGGCTTGTAATGGAGCTGAGGAGAGACTCTTTGGCATTTTCCAGTTTGTCTGAGGCTCCTTAGCTCCCAGGACTGACTGTACAGCTGGGTCACCTCATGTTACTTTAGGAACCTTAGCTTTACATTAACTGTTGCCACCCGAGAAATGACCACAGAATTTTTCTCTCCTCTCTTTTGAACTTTAGAGCTCCATTTAAAGATGAAGGCCAGCGTGGCAGGTTGTTCTGAGGATGATCTTGGAGACTCAGAGCTGTCGTAATGCTGCAGGGGCCAGTATTAGGGTCTTGAACTTCAGGAATGAATACTGTTGATTTAGAAAAGGGGTCCAGAAACACTGGGGAGTGGTTCGTGTTGTGTGACTATTCCTGAAGACCAGATGGAACAGGGCCACCGTGGGAGGGGAGTAACCCAGGCTCTTTGTTCTTTTTTTTTTTTCTTTTCTTTTCTTTCTTTCCTTTTTTTTTTTTTTTTTTTTTAAACTTTCCTCCCCTAAGTTTTAGATGCTTCTGGATGTTCAATGCTAGCACCTTTACAGACTGGAGCAGCTCGATTTTCTTCATATTTACTTTCAAGAGCAAGAAAAGTGCTGGGCTCCCACTTATTTTCTCCCTGTGGTGTTCCGGAGTTCTGCTCCATATCCACCAGAAAACTGGCGGCCCACGGCTTTGGCGCATCCATGGCGGCAATGGTGCCCTTCCCTCCCCAGAGGTATCACTACTTTTTAGTGCTGGACTTTGAGGCCACGTGCGACAAGCCACAGATTCATCCTCAGGTAACTGTTGCATCATTGCTTCAGAAAAGGTGGGGTGGGCAAGGAGGGAGGGAGGTTAGTCTTACTTTCTGGGTTCCAGGGGAACTTTCTCATGTCTTCCTGGCTTTTAGCTACTCATCAGGAGTTCCTGCCTAGGAAGTTGGACTTGGTTCAGGCATGGTAGGGTAAGGTAGATCTGAGAAGTCTCTGGAGAGAACTGGGCATATTGTTTCTCTCTGGTCTCAGCCTTTGGGAATCAAAATATTTCCTTCTGTCCCATCCTTCCTCTCTCCTTTCCCTTACCTCCTTCCTTCTCCTACTATTGCTGCATGTTATTTTAAGGAATACTGTCGTAGTCAGCCTCTAAGATGGTACCCAATGATCCTTGCCTCCTGGGATTCCTGCCCTTGGTAGTTTCTCTCCCACACTGAATCAGGGCTAGCCTTGTATAACCAGTAGAACATAGAGGAAAAGCCATAGTGTGATTTCTGAGGCTAAGTCATAAAAAGCGCTGTGGTTCGCCTTGCTCTTTTGGATCACTTGCTTTGGAGAAAGCCAGCTGCTGTGCATTGAGGACTCTCAAACGGCCTGTGGAGAGGCACGTGTGTACAGGAACTGAGGTTCTTAGCTAAAAACCAGTACCACTTGCCATTCATGTTTCTTGGTGCTGTCTTGGAAGTGAATCTGCCAGCCCCAGTGGACATCTGACTTCAACCTCAGGAGAGACCCTGAGCCAGGCTGGTCTGCTGAGCCACTCCTGAATTCCTGGCTGGCAGAAACTGTGAGAGATAAGAAGTGATTATTGATGTTTGGAGCCACTAAGTTTGGGGATGTGTTAGAGAACCTGAAGTACAACTCTTGGTCTGTTGGAAAGGAAGATTTCTTTGCTTACTTTTTTTCCTTAGTCATCAACTGTGTCTGGAGACCTTTTACCCTTTAAGGTAGTGCTACTAGGAGGTTTGGATTAGCAGCAGAGAGGCACCTGTTCTTGGAGATATTGGCGTGCTTGGGGTTGGTTTGGGGGGAACGATTGGGGGCTGATGGGGCAGTTCATTGTACTGTGGGGGCCTTGAGTATGCCCGGCTCTAGGACTGTAACTCTTCCCTGTGGGCCTGGGTTATTAGGGGTATCATTTTGGGATGTGTAGACATGTTAGTTTGGGAGCAGATTTCAATGGTAGGGAGGATGGGAAAAGGGGGGCGGTAGCATCAGGCACTTGGGAGACAGGGAGGAGTGGGGTCCATTCAGAGATAAACTGAGTTCATTTCTCATGGTTGGTTTTTCCCATGAAGAGGTTCTGTCTTTAGAATAGTAGATTATTTTCCATAAAGCAGATCCCACCACCCTTTTACCTTCCCCTTTCTTTCTCCTTTTTCCTGTTCTCCCTTTAAGTAGTGGACTGTCTTTGGGAGCATTGGAATTAGCCCTGTGGAAGTTTGGGAAGACAGGAGCAAGATGAGGAGAATGTCCTGAGGGAAAGAACTTCACATAAAAGGAAATATAGCTTGGGTGCTGCCTGAGCCACCCTTATTTTCTCAGCCTCTTGCTCCTGCCCATGCTGTAGAGTCTTCTCTGCCTCCCAAAACTATTAGACATTCTGTGCTGGCTGTTCCTGGGTGGTGGGTGGGAATTTTGGTTACATAGATTCTCCCAGGTTAGGAATCAAGGATCCATATCTTAACACACCATATTATTTCCCTTACTGATGTAGATTTCAATTACTGAGTAAGCCCTAGTGGGACATGAGTCTAAAATCCAACACGTCCCAATTGCATATGATTCATCCCTCTTCTGAACTCTCATAATCACTTGGCACCTCCTTTATGGCATTTTCTACATTCTGCTTTCTGGCACATGCCTACGTATGTTTATTTCTGAACTTTTCAGTTAGATTGTAAGCTCAGATAATTATGTAGCTCTGTTCTCTTGTCCTACAGAGGGTCCTATCAATGTTGCTGAAGGTAAAGCCTGATTCATGTCTCAATTTGGTCTGTCAGTATCACCTTCCATCTCTCTTTCAAGGGCATTGTTCTTTTTATTTATTTATTTATTGCAATGCTGAAGATATAATGCAATACGGTTTGTTTTTTTTTTTAAGATTTTATTTATTAGAGTGAGAGAGCACAAGCAGGGAGAGTGGCAGGCAGAGGGGGAAACAGGATCCCCGCTGAGCAGGGAGCCCAATGCGGGACTCGATCCCAGGCCCCTGGGATCATGACCTGAGCCGAAGGCAGATGCTTAACCATCTGAGCCACCCAGGTGCCCTGCAGTACAGATTTAAATCACTTGTATCACCAACTTCTCACCCAGACTTAGGCACCAAGGCCTTCCTGACCTAGGCTGAGGTAGGACTTCATGCCATTTACCAGGATCTAGGCCTGATTAAAGATTATCTCCAGAATCAATGAACCCTGATGATGTGATTCCAAGGGCACTTAAAGAATTGGCTGCCCTGGTTCATTATTAGAAAGCATTAGCTGTTGCTTTAGAGAACTCAGGAAGAAGCATTCGCTGTCTTGCTTATCTTTAAAAAGGGGAATACGAATGATCTTGGAAGTTATAGACCCGTTAGTTTACTGTGATTCCAGAGAAGATACTTGACCTGATCGTCAGATAATCAATCAGCAAACAGCTAGAAGAGCATAGGGTACTACTGAGTAATAACTTACATGGGTTTGTGAAGAAGAGCAAATCCTGTCAGATCAATCTAACTTCTTGCTGTGACATAGTGATGGATTTGAGTGGATCTGGGGTAAGTGATAAATGTAATGCATCTCTACTTCATTAAGCCTCCACAATGCTGTGATCAACAGGTAGGAAGGTGAGTTGGGGGCCAGGCAGCTCTGTTGGACTACCCATTGGATCACTCTCAGGAAAGGGATGGGTAGCTCAGGAGTGATTTGAGACTTGTTTGTGGCAACTTAAAGCCTCTCTCTCTTTAAAAACCAAACAAACGAAAAACTTCTCTAAAGTTTGCAAGTAGCAGGATCCTGATAGGATTCAGAGGAATTTTGGAAGATGGATTGGAGAAGTTATCAGTTCCACATAGGATAGCGTTCTTCCACTGAGGTTATCATGGGTCACGTTGTCATTAGGGCCTCTGTGCTGTGTAGGTCTTCTGGTCAGCAGGGACAGTGGAGAAATTGGAAAAACTCAGGATGAGAGGGGAAAAAAATCATTAGGGGCACAAAAATAGGACTTAGAAAGAAAGAAGAGAAATTGAATATCGTCTTTGTGACTTATTTCTTATTCAGACTAAATAAATTCATCATATGGGAGGTAGTTGTTCCAAAGAGTATACTAATAACTTGCTCTTCATTTTAATAAGGATAAAAAAAAGAAATGAATTTAAATGGAAACAGGAAAGATTGAGATTTGGGATGATAATGAACTTTTAGAAGAGACTGGAAAAGGACTAGAATATGGGCTGCTAGCTGAATCCAGCCCTCCCTAGTGCTCTCTCAGAATAGCTTAATGGCTGTCCACTTGACAGAGATGCTTTATGGGCAAGGTCTGTGTGCCTCCTGGGGATGAGCTTGGGACTGTGGATCAGCCTTCCTCCTCCCTGACTCCCAGTGGCTTTCAATACTCAAGGCCTCTACATAGGACATTTCCGATCCTTATGGGAGTGTGCCATTATCCCTCAGGGGTGAGGAGGCAGAAACAAGTTTGGGGCCAGGATCTATCTGGAGGCTTGGCATGGGGTTCATCTTTCTGATCTATATTTGGTCTTCAGAAGTCTCTGAGTCAGCTTATTGGGACTGTCCTTAAGAAATGGCACCATGAAAACTAACAGGTATAAGTTCTGTTGTACTCGGGTGAGTAACAATATTGGTAATAAACATGGTAAAACATCTGGTATTTTCCATTTGTCATCATTTTTGCTGTTTATTTTTGTACTTTGTTCAGCTAGGTGAAGCTGGAGTGGTCGGTTTACCAGTAATAGGCTTCACTTTTTTTTGCAGGTTTTTGCGCTCATTTTGATTTACATTTTGATTCAGATTAATCTCTATCATGTTAATATGATAGATATTGGCAGAATATGAGACTTTTACATTTGAAAACATTTTTCCACCTAAATGTTAATTTAGGTGGTTTAAATTGCTTTAGAGACTCTAAGTTTGAGGAATAGGATTCCTTTCTTGCTTTAGGAATTGTTTCCTGATAGGGAAGTAGGTTTTTATCTGGTTTAGGAGAATCCTGACTCCTTTCTCCTGGCTAGCAGGAGTTCATAGTTGTTCATTTTGGTGTGGATGTGCATCGAATAATGGTGGTTGTGACCCTCAGGCCCAGGGAGCAGCCTGAAAGCTTTGGTGGGATCTTTAACTGTTCATCTTTAACCTGGGGGCAAGTTCTCTTACCACCTCAGTGTTTAGAAAGGAACAAAGCAAATGTAAGTGAGGACAGTGAGGTATAGGCCACAGCACATGGGGAGAAGGAAATAACCTCAGCTCTCCGGATGGCCGGGGAAAGGGCAGCCCTGCTGTCCTTGTCTGGGGAGCGAAGTCCTGGCTGCTGCCTGCCCTCCCTCCCTGGGTTTCCTCTGGCCAGCCATCAGCTCCTGAGCATGGTCTTTTCCTCACTGCTGTGCCACAGCCCTGCGACTGTTTTCCTTCTCATCTGTATTCCAAGTGCCCATAACTTTGGAGAAAAATGACCTTTGGGGTTGAGGTTTTCTAGTGTTTGGTCTTTGTCCACAGGGGCTTTTCTTTTCTTTTCTTTTCCTTTCTTTTCTTTTCTTTCTTTCTTTCTAGGAAACCTTGAAGAAACTCCATCTGCATTTTGAGTTAGAACTATGAGTAAAGGAGTTTCTCTTTTATAGAAAATTGTCCAGATGCTGCGTTATTTTGGGAGGGTAGGGTGGAGGAAGGTTAATGGTGACAGGAGAAGGAATAACATAAAAGAGAGGCATTTGAGAGGCATACTCAGTATGACTTAGAACTGGTACATCGTTATTAGTCTTTTGTGAGAGAGACATTTTGGGAAACTTTACAGAAATTGTTAAGATCCCTACAAATCAAACTATATTGATTCCCTTCTCCATTCAAGGCTGAAAGGCAGGCTCCCCCTACCCTTTCTCCCCTGCCCCCAGCCAATATGCACACACACATGCTGCTCTTCCTATGTATCCACCTTTCCTTCTCCCTGCTCTTGGTTTCTACACCCTCCAAGTGGACAGAAAGGCAGTTCCCTAGAGAAAGAACCCACCCTTCCTGCCCCATTCACTTGTCCCAATCACAGCTCCTTCAAGTAGGAGGGGCCCAGCCAGGCTTTCTATTGCGAGGGCCCAGTTGTTGGGTTGCGGGTCATCTGCCTGTGTCCCCAGTCAGCCTGCACTTTTTTCTCTACAGACAGGCGAAGGAGCTGATGCTATTCTTCTAAACTGGGAAATGAAATGCAAAACCGACGTTAATGTAACATTATGGTTGAGATTAAATGCACCAAAATCAGGAAATTCAAAGTTATGCTTCCCACAGCAACTATAATTCAGCCTCATCTGGCGTGTGTAGTATTTTGTGTTAGTGCGGATGGTGTTATATGTTAAGACATTAAAGTTAACACCATAAGCAGAGCACAAAATGCTTGAGGGGGCTGAGTTATGATGACTGTGTGAGCTGTAAGTGTTCTTGCACAGGCTCCCGACTCCTGGTATAATTTTCCCCTTGCCCATCAGACCAATTATTGCCTTTCTTTTTAGTTATATTTCTGCTTTAACACATCTCTTCTTCCAGGGTCACCATAAATGAATTCCGCTATTGGTGGTCACTGATGGTGGTGGGACTGGGACAGCCCACTAGGCGCTTTTGTCCTTTTTGTTGCTGCTTCCATAAAAGTGGTGCTTCCCCTCCACCTCCAGAAGCCCCCTCCTTCACAGACTGCTGTTTCCTGGTGGTCCCTCATCCGGATCCCCACCCCCACCCCCGCCATCCCTTCCCTCCAACTGTCACTGGGGCTCCTCACAACTGCTCCCTGAATGAGAACAAGCGTTTGCTGTGTCCGGGTCTTGGCCTTGTTGTAACTTCACGTGAAAGCCGAAGGGCCCTTCTTTATTTGGAGCAGACATAGCAATGTGGAAGTAAAATATACATCCCGGGAGCGCAGCACCGATGCATGGTGGTGCTGCCTTATGTGTTTGGCATAGCAGAGGCGTAGATCGAAGTGGGTTTATTTGCTCTCTTCTGACTGCTTCTCTATCTTCCCCAGGGTTTATACCTTTAAGCTGCTGTGGTGTGTAGTTAGGGCTGTGGAGTTGCCTGGGGGTGGGACCAGGAACTTTCCTTGGGGAGCACTGGGTCATTGGTAACAAAATCACCACATAATTGAGTACAAATCAGGAAACCTCCCCCTAGCCTCTTATTATCCTGGTGGCCTCCCCAGGGCTGAGACAGCTGTTGGAATGCAGATTTTGTTAGACACTGGGCTAAGGTTGGTGGTGGGGAAGAGCTGTAAAGAATAGGGCCATTGATAAATGATGAATGAAATCAGGGACTGTAAACGAACAGTGACAGTGAGCTGCCTTTTAAAGTTTTTGTTGGATACGACAAAACCAACCAAGTAAGCAAAGGAATGGGGAGGACCTTATTGTAACCACCTTAGAGGCAATGAAAAGGCCTCATTCTACTCTTTGGATAGCAACTTCAAGCTCTGTGTTAGATCCCGGGGACATAGAAACAAGTGAGAAATGGTCCCTACCCTCAAAGAGCTCATAGTCGAGGAGGGTAGACCTACATGTAATCACTGTTAAGCATTTGATTATATCATGTAGGTCAGTACTTGGTGCAGTGGGAGCTCAAAGGAGGGGAATGATCAACCCTGCTCATGGTGTGGAGGAGGGGTTGCATAGGCTTGATGTTAGAGAAATTTAGGAGATCCAAGAGAGCCAGGTCAGCCTATGGCCTCTCAGAATTGTTGTAGCAGGAATGAAAGAAGGTGCTCACAGAGTAAGCCAGGATGAATTGACCTAAGGCTGAAAAACTGACCTGGATTGCAGGGTTGTTTGTGGGAGTGTTGAAAATGAGGAAGAGAGAGAATGAAGACTTTGAACTGACAAATATTTCACTGTTTGTTTAGTAGGATTATTTCTATTGGTTGTATGGTATTTCTCACATTCAAGCCAGAAGATGTTTGTTGGTTTTTTTTTTTAAGATTTTAATTTTTTTTGAGAGCGTGCCCTCATGAGCAGCACGGAGGGCGGGGAGGAGCAGAGGGAGACTCCCTGCTGAGCAGGGTGCCTGATGTGGGTCTCAATCCTAAGACCCTGAGACCACGACCTGAGCCAAAGGCAGACGCTTAACAGACTGAACTACCCAGGAGCCCTGCAAGCTAGAAGATCTTAGTGGGATCTGTGAGAGTATGAAGGCTAGGAGAGATTTGAGAGAATTTTAGCCAATAAAGTGTGGGCAAAAATGTAAGGGTCAACAAAAAAAATATGTGAGCTGAGGCCCTGAGGCATTGCCGGGGAGGGCTAATTGGATACCCCAGATGCTATTAAGGGCAGCACGGGGTTGGGCTGCTAGGCCTTCAGGGAGAAGGAAGGGCTGGAGAATGACACAGCACCTCCCTGTGACCCTCTAAAAGTACTGGCAGTTTGGATCTGGATCTGTGAGACATCCTTTGGGAAGACCTACCTTCCATAGACTGGGGAGGTTTAGATCCATCAAACAGATAAGCAACTGGCTCCCTAACGTCGAGAGATGCAATGGAAGGATTAAGGAAGAGGCAGGTGGGCCTGGGTAACAACAGAAAATGTGCTAGAGCAGAGGTGACTAGAGGGCTTCGAGATGGGGGGTGAGCTCTCTCTCTGAGCAGCAGCAACAGGTGCACAGCCATAGAAGGAAAACGGGGAATTTGGGGTGGGGTAGTGAGGAAGTGAAATCCAAAGGAGTGTTTAGGGTAGGTCCATAGGCTTCACTTCTCCTTGCCTCCATCCTATCTTGTTTTTCTTCTCTCCAATATTGATTACATTCCTTACCTTGTAGACTGAGCTCAGTTGTTTGACATGAGGAAACTGATATTAGGAGATGCTTTCTCCATCTCTTTGTCTTGTTGGGGAAAAGGGTCCTGCATCATTTTGATTAAGATGCTATTGGGGTGATTATTTTTTATTCTCTTATCCTGGGTGTTCACAATACTTAAAAAAAAAAAAACAACCCACAGCTATACATTTATGTGATGAGTTTTGAGCTCTCGCTGTGAAAATTGAGTCATAGCCTAAAAGCCTGAAACAAGAGTGTTCCCAGATTGACACTAGCCCCCCAGGCTGGCAGGTCTGCAGCAGAGGGTGAGCAGGCTGGGACAGGCAGAGAAGGGTTTGTACCTTCTAGAGTGCTGTCATGGGCAAAGCCCTGTTTGGTGCTGAGATATCAGAAAGGAGGTAAGTGGACTCTGGAGAGAGAGACAAACATCAGCAAAGCTTTTAATCTGATGTTCAGGTACCTTGGAATTGGCTGCTGTTTTGGTCCTATCCCTGTCTGTAGTGGCCAGTGGGCGATCTTGGTCTGTGGGCAGGAAAACACATCTGTTATGTGATCAGTCCACTTCTGTTCCAGTGCTGTGGTCAGTGTCTAGTTCTAGGGAGGCCCTTCTAGCCAGGGGTTGGCCTGAAGGGTAAATGCTGGCAGAAGCTCTTATTTGGAGATACTGATGTTGCTGAAAGGAAAGGAGTGTAGAGTCCAAGGTGAGGCTGGGGGCAAAGTTGGTGAGCCAGAAGAGAAAATGTGAAGGTGTTATTGAATGGAATAGAAGAAACAGAAAGAGATGTTGCAAGCCAGAATTCATGGGAATGGTGGGGAAGATGTTCCAAGGGGTTAAAAATGGACATGGGGAACCTAATTAGGAGGCATTATTTGGAAGAGTTGTTAGTGGGTTGGACTAAGGTAGTGATGATGGGTATGGAGAGAGGAAGTTATGTGTTGTAGCTTTTAGATGTGCTGGGAAAGAAGTGAGCTTGAGAACCAAGTAGCTGGTAGTTCCTTTGGATACTGGTGGGCCCCTAGGAGTCAGCGGTGCTAAGAGATTTGGCAGGGGGTAAAGGTGGAACCTATGGTTGTTGTAAATGGGGTGCTCCAAACTGAAGAGTCATTATCAGGGAGAACCAACAAGGTGAGTTCCTTAGTGGTGTTGTAAGTAGGATCTTTTTGATGAACCGTTTGGCCATTGGCCTAGGGGAGGTAGGTAGTGATGATTAGGTAGATAGGATGATAACTGGAAAGAAAGCTTGGAATCTTGCTCTCCAAAAGTGTGATAGCAACTAAGAGCCCTGGCTTGAGATTGTGATGTTTGAAAATGGAGTTCCAGGGGGTCTGTCTGCATTGTTCACGGGTTGGTTTTTTTTCTGTCCCTACTGCTAGCAGCATTTGAATGAAAGGCCAACTGGTGGACTGAAAGGGATTGGTGGTTGGGAACAGAGGAGGTAGGCACTGAAGAATGGAATATGAAACATGCCATTTTGATAAGGTCTACTTTCACTAGAAAGGTAAGTGACTAGAGAAACAAGGCCAGGGGTAGGCCTTAAAAGGAAGTTAATGGTGATGGTGTAGAATGTGGCGGCTGGTTGATGTTGGTGAGGAATCCCCAGTTTGGTGCCTCAGGATATTTGCAGGAATTGCCAGGATCCTGTTCCAGATCTGTGGCCACAGGTCTTTCTCAAGAAGTCTTCATTGGAGAAGTATCCAGAACTGCTTTTTGATTCAGTTAGACAGAAGGAAGGTGTTTTTCTGGAGAGGATAGTATGAGTGCTCTGTGGGTAGCTGATGCCCTGATCCTGACAGTATTCTTCGAGGGAGCACGCATTGTCATGAAAGAAGATCTCTTGTTGGCTCCCTAGCAGAGAGTTACCGGCTTGCTCATTAAAGCTCTGGGATGTGACATGCCAGTTTTTCTACCCTGATTGTGGCAGCAAGGAGAATGAAATATCTGATGGCAAGAGCCAGGAGTGGTTGGCAGATCTAAAGGTCTTGTCCCAGGTGCTTGAAAGTGGGCCAGGTAAGGGTTTATTCTGAGAAAGGGACTAAGACCTGTGGCTCATATTCTCACTTGGTCAGTATATCTGTGATAAGGAGGTACTCTCATAGATGTTCTAGACTACATCTGTGTTTTTCAAAGTGTGGTCCAAGAACCAGCAGCATCCTCATCATGTAGGAGCCTGTTAGAAATGCAGAATATCAGGCCCTACTCCAGCGCTAAATAGAATCTGTAATTTGACAAGATCTTTGGGTAATTTGAAGTCTGAGAGACACTGCTGTAGTCTAGACCAATGGTCCTTAAACTTTAGCAATCAGAATTGTGATCAGAATCACGTGGAGAGCTGGTTAAAACACAGATTACTGGCCCCAACCTCAGGGTTTCTGATCCAGAGTTTGGGGTGGAGGCTAGGAATTTGCATTTCTGATAAATTCCCAAGTGATGGGATGCTGCCTGTGAGGAAACATGCTTTGAGACCCACTGACCTCCCTAGCTTTTTCGTCTATAAAATAGGGCAATGATTCCTGCCTGCCTTACAGAGATGTAAGATCAAATGAGCCAATGTGTGAGAAAAGTGTTCAGCGCATTGTAGGCAGGATGTCAGTTTGTGTATTGCTTGCTCCATGGTCAGTGATTTTAAAAATCTACTGTCATGCCAGCACAACCGTTTACCTGTCCTGGCTTCTGGCTGGCAGCTTTGTACAAAGAACAGGGAATCTATGAAGCACCCATGGAGATAAGTCTTCTATGAAGAGACCAGCAGCCCCTTTAGGAGCAGGGTCTCCTGAAGCCCAGCCAGTTTCTCTGGTCTCCTACCCAAGTTACCTGACCAGAACCTCTGTCTGCCTGAGTGGGCTTGGGCCTCTCCTGATCACCTGTTACCCCCAAATAGTAGATCTTTAGTGCAGTATTTACACTCATTGGAAAAATGGTCTTTGACTAACCAAGCCTCTGATTCATCTTGTGATCCTGAGCGCATTACATGACTTTTCCTCACCTTACTGGTTGATTAAACGAACAGTCATTGGCTGCATGTGCCCAAGTCCCAGAATGTGCACTCTGGACCTCCAGGGTGAGGAAAACTGAGGGAGAGGCTATTCTGATGAGAAGCAATATAGCATAATGGTTCAGAGCATAGACTCCAGAACTGGACTCTGGATTTGAGCCCTCTCCACCACCTACTAACAGTATGACTTGCCTTGGGCAAGTTGTTTATACTCTATGCCTCAATTGCCCTGTTGGCAAAAAGGGGTTTTATAAAGCGCCGGTCTCATAGGACTGTTGGGAGGATAAAATATAAGTGCTTAGAACAGTGCCTGACATACAATAGCTGTAGGAGTTAGCTCTTACTAGTAGTATTCTTAATCATGGCATCATTGCAAGGTATTGGGATATAGCAGATGGCTGGGAAGCAGGCCCTCCTTCAGGAAGCTTAGAGAAAGCCTTTAGGCCCTCTATCAGCGTAGTGGGTAGAGCTGAGGCACCACCCAGAGAGATTTTTTTCCTCTACTGGAATGGTAATTTGGACCCAGAACCCTTCTATTTCCATGCCCTC